CAGTATAGGGAGAGCAATTAGGGTCGCCTAACAATGTATGTATAAATTTTTGTATGAGAGACTAACTTGAATTGTAAACTTTCACTTAAACTACAAAGATAATTAAAAAAAAAGAAAAAAGACACTGCATCTCACTGTGACGAGCCGAGGTGGTTGGAGCTCGTTTGTGGATGATATGGGGCAACAGGAGGGAAGGCCTTAGGAGGAGGGCACAGACCCGAGAGAGGGCAGAGTGACTCTGGGGCAGCTGGTGGTGAAGCCTGGCTGTGGTGTGTATGTGTGTTTGTGAGTCCGTACACACATGAGATGAATTAATGAGCCATGTGTGGGGCAGGTGGAACCTGGGATTAGCAGGGTGATTGGGTCCTTCTGCGAGTTCTGGGCTGGGGGGCCACCTGGCTGTGATGGCAATGCCAGCCCCAGAGCCCCCTCCTGGCTTGTGTTACAGTGACAGAAATGATTCACTGAGTTTTTTCTTCTTGCCAGGCCAAGCTCAAAGAGATTAGTCTGTCCACCGTGCGGTTCATGGAGGAGCTGGGCGAAGACCGATTCGGGAAAGTCTACAAAGGTCACCTCTTTGGATCCACACCAGGGGAGCAGACCCAGGCCGTGGCCATCAAGACGCTCAAGGACAAAGCGGAGGTGCCCCTCCGAGAGGAGTTCAAGCACGAGGCTATGATGCGGTCGAGACTCCAGCACCCCAACATCGTCTGCCTGCTGGGGGTAGTGACCAAAGACCAGCCACTCAGCATGATCTTCAGCTACTGTGCCCACGGTGACCTGCACGAGTTCCTGGTCATGCGCTCACCACACTCGGACGTGGGCAGCACCGACAACGACCGGACTGTCAAGTCTGCCCTGGAGCCTCCTGACTTCGTTCACATTGTGGCCCAGATCGCTGCAGGGATGGAGTACCTGTCCAGCCACCACGTGGTCCACAAGGACCTGGCCACCCGCAACGTCCTCGTGTTCGACAAGCTGAACGTGAAGATCTCGGACCTGGGCCTCTTCCGTGAAGTGTACTCGGCCGATTACTACAAGCTGGTGGGGAATTCGCTCCTGCCCATCCGCTGGATGTCCCCAGAGGCCATCATGTATGGCAAGTTTTCCATCGACTCGGACATCTGGTCCTATGGTGTGGTCTTGTGGGAGATCTTCAGCTACGGCCTGCAGCCCTACTGCGGCTACTCCAACCAGGACGTGGTGGAGATGATCCGCAACCGCCAGGTGCTGCCCTGCCCGGACGACTGCCCTGCCTGGGTGTACGCCCTGATGATCGAGTGCTGGAATGAGTTCCCTAGCCGGCGGCCGCGGTTCAAGGATATCCACAGCAGGCTCAGAACCTGGGGGAACCTCTCCAACTACAACAGCTCGGCGCAGACCTCGGGCGCCAGCAACACCACGCAGACGAGCTCCCTCAGCACCAGCCCCGTGAGCAACGTCAGCAACACGCGCTACATGGGGCCCAAGCAGAAGACCCAGGCCTTCCCCCAGCCCCAGTTCATCCCCATGAAGGGCCAGATCAGACCAATGGTGCCCCCGCCTCAGCTCTACATCCCTGTCAATGGGTACCAGCCGATGCCGGCCTACGGAGCCTACCTGCCCAACTTCTATCCCGTTCAGATTCCGATGCAAATGGCCCCTCAGCAGGTGCCCCCCCAGATCATCCCCAAGCCAGGCTCCCATCACAGTGGCAGTGGCTCCACCAGCACGGGCTACGTCACCACGGCGCCTTCCAACACGTCGGTGGCGGACAGGGCGGCCCTGCTCTCCGAGAGCGCCGAGGATGCTCAGAACGCTCCAGAAGACGTGGCCCAGAATCCCGTGCCCGAAGCAGAGGAGGAGGAGGAAGGCTCCGTGCCAGAGACAGAGCTACTGGGAGACAATGACACCCTGCAGCTGGAGGAGGCTGAGGTCCAGCTGGAAGCCTGAGGGACCCCCCCCGCAGGACTCCTGGCTGGGAAAGAAGCCCCGCTGGGGTGCCCCAGGGACCCTCGATCAGCTCCTTTGTCGGAAACATCACCTCCACAAAATGTAGGCATAAGATGCAGCAATTATGTGAGCGCAAGTCCTGCGGACCTTTGTGTAGACTTGATGGTGTGCCATATTGCTTTGCTCTTGTCATCTGCGTGCAAGATGCTGCTCTGATAGGAGGTGCTGCTGCCTGCCATCCATTTGGTTGCCTAAGCCAGGCAGGGCAGGCAGCCCAGCAGAGTGACCCATATTTTAAGCCACCCGAGTTCATCCCCGCGGTAGCTCGGCAGTGAGCACTTGGGTATGCATTGAACGAAAATAAGGTCGCGTCTTCACTCCATATTGTGTATGGATGTTGCAGAACTTGCCTGCAGAAGACAGCAAGGTATGACACCTGGTGTTGTGAGATTTTCAGCACTGGCCTTTTGGTTTCTTTGAGGATGCAGGACGCTCATTTTCTCTCTGCTGCCCCGCTGCCATTCCTGTTTGCCGTTCGCCAGCCAAAGATTTGCCACAACAGGGTGCTGCCATTCTGCCACATGCCAGGGTCCAATAAGACAGGGGCTTCTGAAGTGGAAGTTTCCTGTGTTTTTTTTAAAAAAATGTGCCTTTGAGAAAACCGACACAATTTTGTATTTTTGTGAAATGATTTTAATTATACTTCATGTGCGTTTTGCCCACTTTTCTGGAATTCAAGGGAAGGTGTTTCTTGAATTTGGGATGTTAAAAAGAAGCAATATTGTACAGAACACAGTATTGTTATTTTTTTTTAAGATTCATGTACAGACCTTAAACGTAATTTATATGTTTGTTTTTTGTATGCCATTTTCATTGAAGTATTTTGATCTTAAACTAATGACTTGGTAATTTAACTGTTGATGCTGTCCACTTTGGGGTGCCATCTGATTGTATTTGGGTTTGCTTGTTTTGTACTGTGTCAGCAAGGTCCGTGCATTTCAGAACTCGTGGTAGAGAAAGGCCCACAGGTACGCAATCTGTATCCAGCACATGTATAGATCTCGTTTGTAAATCCCACACCTGCTGTATCTAATAAAGCGAAACACAATGTTTGGTTGGATCTCCTGTGGCTTGTACGGGACTGAGCAAGTGGAAGGGGCTTGCTGAGTGAAGCGGGTGGCGGGTGGTGTGTTATTTTGGCTACGCCCTCTCAGGGCTTGGGGAGCGCTCTCCAGGACCAGCCACTCCATTTTAATTTGAATATGCATTGGCAGATCAATCATGGAAATATGCTGTATTGCTTTTCTCTTGTTATGAGTGTGCATTCATTGCAAATGTGTGAAGATGGTCTTTGATTTTAAACCTGTGTCCCTCCTGAGTCCTCAAAACCCCTGATATTTGTAGACCTGGAGCTTGGCACTTCTCAGGACCTGGAGTCAGGCTGGGCTGGGGTGGGGGTGGACATTGTTCATGGTCTTCCCAGGCCTGCCTGCACCCTCACTTCATCTGTAGTACAGCTGGCGGGGCCAGGCTGTACCCATGCCAGGCTATACCTGCACCAGGCTACACCCGTGCCAGGCTACACCCGTGCCAGGCTACGCCTGAGGGATCAGTGGTTTTAGGACTTCTCGTCGGGAGGGGACACTGTAACACAGCTACAGGCTGGGGTGGATGCTGCGGGTGTTTCTGCCAGCCGGCAAACAGCCCCTGCAGCCACCAGGGCCTGGCCCTTTCCCCGCTGTAGCTCAGGAGGCAGCCAATGCTCATGGGAGTGGGTTACAGAACTCTGAGGACAGGTAAGACTACATGGAGCAATGGTTTTTTAGCCTGCATCAGAATGACTTGGAGTATACACCCAGTACTGCCCTCCTTGCTCTGGGGCTCTGATTCAGGGGGTCTGGATGGGGCTGAGAATGTGCATTTCTAACAAGCTCCTGGAGTGTGTCGCTGGTTAGGGACCTCACACTGAGCCCTGCTGATGTAGAGAATCATCTGGACTCTTAGGACACCATTTCATGGGGCAGGAGCTCCTTCCACATCAAATGCACAATCAGACTGTTCTTTTACCCCTGAAGTTACAACACCCGTTGACTCACTTGCACTGTAGTGCGGCCGATGGAATCCCGAAGGGGTGTAGAACCGGTTTCATTCCATGATTTTTTTTGAGTGGGGGAGAAAGAACTCAGGCAGAGACCCCTTTGTAACAGCAGATACCCTCATTTAGAGCACATCCTCTGCACTGGGTCCTCACTGAGTGGGGAGAGGAGGTCATTCTCCTTGACAGCTGCACCCCGTGCTACCCTAACTTTTAGTTTATCCTCTTCTCTCCCACCCTACTGCTGTGGCACAGTGTTGCTCGTGGATAGATTCACACACACAAATACAAAGTTTTAATGTATATCCTAAAAGTGGGGTGGACCCTTTTCTACTCAGTGGAAGGAAGTAACGTGATTGGGGTGAGGATCAGGAGCCCCTGGTCATCCCCTACCAGGCGAGCGCAGTTCGGATGGTTCAATATAGTTACTGCTCACTGCCACTGATCTGACAGAAGAACTTAACTTTATCGCTAGTTTGGCAGACCTGATGGTTTAACTGTTTGGTTGAGACCTCGGACTGAGAAGAGGGAAATAGCCCTTGGGCTGCTTTCGCCACAAGCCTGGTCCAGAAAGAGTCTCTACCACCTCAGTTTACCATCCTCAGCCCCCAAGTATGAGTGTGGGCTCCACCTGACAGCCAGCCAGAGCTACAGTAGCCTAGAGTCTGTAAGAAAACATTTAGAGTGTTTTTTGATGGAAGGGAGGAGGTTGTTTGGATTTGGGGGATTTTTTTTTTTAACTATCTAAATATAGTACTTGTTATTGCTCATTCTAATTGTAAAATCTTGATCCATTTTTAGGAAGATTATTGAACTTTTAACATTTCCGTAATTGAAGGATAATGATTTAGTTGGGATGTTCCAGAACAATTGATTTTAGCTAAATTGAATGATTCAGATAAATGCCAGTTGTACCATTGTCTTAAGCTGGGTTCTCTAGAGAAGCAAAACCAGTAAAGCATATATATATATATATATAGAGAGAGAGAGAGATTTATATAAGGAAATGGCACAGGCAATTGTAGAGGCTGGGATGTCCCAAGTCGGTGGATTCACATAGTCCCAGAAGCTGGCGAGCCCAAGATCGGCAAGTTGGAGAGCAAGGCTCTTGCTCACAGGCTGTGAAGATTGAAATACTGAGATAGGCAGATAAGCTGCTAGCTCAAATCCAAGAACCGAAGGTCAGACAAACAGAAGCCAGCTGTAGGATCCAGCACAGGCAAAAGCCAGAAAGTCCACTTATATTCAGATGCAGGCCGCATGCCCAAGGAAACGCCCTTTCAACTGATTGGCTACTCACAGCAGACCCCATCATGGGAGTGATCACATATAAACACTGAGAATCATGGTCCAGCCAAGCTGACACAGAATCTTAACCATCACAACCATCCACCTAGCAAGATGCCTGCCCTCCTTCAGGCCCACGAGAGAGGGAGAATCTCATAGCTAGTGGGTAATTCACTTACGTGTAATTGAGTTTTAATCGATCCGTATGAAGCCGCAAATACCTTTTGCACACCTTATATTTTTTGATAACAGTTGTTGAGACAGTCTGTCAGAGATCATTGAATAATTTTTTGTACTAACTTTAAGGTGTTTAACTATTACATTTTACAACAGCTTCTGACTAAAGAACGTCGTGGGTCTCAACATGGTAATACTGTTAATATGATTTAGATTTAATTCAACCTATCAGTTAAATATTGATAGTTATTTTTAAACAGTTTGTGGCTTTACAACTATGCGTGAAACAAATTTTATATGAGCATTAGTTCTATATGAATATTTTTCACAAGAACATGTAAAATATTTTGAGATTAACTTTTTAGAAGGGATTGTGTCAAGTAAATCTACTTCAAAATTGTATCTGTCTTAGTTATCTAGTGCTGCTATAACAGAAATACCACAGGTAGGTGGCTTTAACAAACAGAAAAGTATTTTCTCACAGTTTAGGGGGCTAGATGTCTGAATTCAGAGTGCTGGCTCTAGGGGAAGGCTTTCTTTCTCTGGCATCTCTGGAGGAAAGTCCGTGTCTCTTCAGCTTCTGCTTCCTTGTTCCCTGGAGATCTCCATACGTCTTGGCATCTGTCTCACTCCATCTCTTTGCTTACTTGTTTAATCTCTTTATATCTCAAAAGCGATTAACTCAAGATACACCCTACACTAACCCTGCCTCATATAACAAAGACAACCCAGTCCCAAATGGGATTATAACCACAGGCATAGAGGTTATGGATTTACAACATATTTTGGAGAGACAAAATTCAATCCATAACATTCCACCTTTGGCCCCCCAAAATTCATGCTCTTGCCACATGCAAAACACATTCACCCCATCACATTGTCCCAAAAGTCTCATATCAACTCCAAATCCAAAATCTCATCCTCTGAATCATCTAAGTGAAGTATGGGTGAGACTTTAGGCACATTCTATCCTGAGGCAAAATTCCTCTTTATCTGGGAACCTGTGAAATCTAAAGTACAAGTTACCTGTTTCCAAAGTACAGTGGTGGAACAGGCACTGGGTAGACATTTCCATTACAAATGGGAGAAATTGGAGGGAAAGAAAGGATAACAGGTACCAAGCAAGCCCCAAACCCAGCAGAACCATTTACATTAGCTCTCAAGGCTTGAAAATAATCTCTGAGACCATCTGGGCAATGGCCCTGCCCTCCAAACTGGGCATTGATCAGGATCTCTGGATTCTGGGTAGAGACCCCTCAGCCCTGGGCTTCGGCTCTGTCTTCCAGGCCCTCTGGGACAGCAACTCTGCTCCCTCAGCTTTGGGAGGCCCCATTCTCCTAGTCCATCTAAATAGCAACCTCACCCCCTCAGCCCCAGCATATTCCATTCTTCTGCCCCTTGGGTATGGGAGCCCCGCCCCCTCAGCTTTAGGTGGCAGCCCCATCCCCCGGTGCACCTTAATGGCAGCCCCACACTCCGGAACCGACTTGGCAAAGATCCGTTGGGATCTTCTGAAACC